GTCAAGGCTAAAGGATTGTGGGTTTTGGCTAAAGGATTGCGGGTCGAGGCTAAAGGATTGCGGGTTTTGGCTAAAGCTTGATGGGAAAAGGTGTAGTATCCGTACTGTTTATCATTACTGTTGGGAATCAGAATCCGTTTAAATATACCAGAATGTCGCTCACTGCCGCAGATGAAATATGGTCTGAAGCTTTTTCTGCTGATCGTGATTCATCAGAATTTAGTCGAACCATTTCATGGTCTTGAACACATTTTATTACGCTGTGTAATATAACCCTTTTTGCTGAGTTAAAAAATAGAACAAAAACACGATACTTTCGACTTGTTGGTCATTTCTCGTCATTCAGACTATTTTCATTTCTAACGCTTTTTTGTTTTCGTCCTTTACGATCTGTTCTCATTAGATGCCAGCGACTGTCAGCACTTCCGCCAATCTCGGTTGTCGGACCGCAATCCTCCTCATCAAGTGATGGAAGCAGCGAGCCCAGTCTAGTCATACTGCCTCCCTCCTCGATTCCGAGTTATATAAACCCACTGGACAGGTTTTGGTCTTCATGGTATAGCTCGACCGCCCACATTCCACCGCCAGCCTATCTGGAAAGTCTTTCACAGTCGTGGTGTGAGATGACCATGAGATCGGATCCAACAAACCACATTCGACCTCATTGCAAAATACGTTCACGCAAACTTCGCGGTGGGTATCATCCGTATTTTTTACCCCGAATCGGACGCCGCAGACCGGGTCATCAGCGGTCTGACTTCAAGGAATGGTTAAATGCGTACGTGTGTTAAACGGTTTAATTTTTTCTTCCTGATACACCCTATAGCCAAGCTACACACGAAGCAGGCGTTAATTAGTTCACTGTAACTCAACCAAAAAATGCATCAATGCATTTATCTTCCAATTGATTTGCATGCTGTTTTGTTCACGGTATTAAGTCGTCCATTGGCACGCAAAAAACCGGGCTGCTTTGTGCTGTTACCGGAACCGGTACAGATGAATGCACACACAGATGTTAACAAAATTGCGATAGGTTTGATTTATTTATCTTGTGAACGCTTTACTCTCTCTCTCTCTCACCCGCTTTATATGTGTTGAGTAGACTAAAACACCATGGGCAGTTGTTTATCTTATGATTTACTTAAGCATTCCGCTAAGTTTCTCTCGCCATTGTCTAAGGCACAATCTAAACATTCTGTTCACACGGTAATCACTCAGCGTCCAATCTCCCCGATGGAAGACAATAACAACATCTTTTCTGAAACACTCTACATGCACCGAGATTCGGGACCATCAAATGTTTCGCTAGTGCTTACCCCACTCCACCTCCGTTTACTACATCATATCTGATTCTCGCTCTACATTGAGACAGTGACTTCAAGTGAAAAATCACCGTCACTTGTGATGCAGCGTTTCATTAATCTTTCCATCGACCATCATACTCCTAAGTTTCTCCTTCGGGCAAGCGTCGCAAACTGAGTAACAAAATTATCAGTCGGGCACATCCATTGTTTGCAGTAAATACATGACATTCGTGTAGACCAATCTGGAAGCCAGCAGGTGTTGACCCGAACTGAGAGTGAACTGAATAGGGATTCTTAAAGTACAACTGAATCGCATCAGTTTCGATTGCTCCCCCCTCCTCCACTATGGTAGATTTGATTTGCACTATATTCAGATCTTAATTAGGTTGAGCAGTTTTTCTCGCGCTACTGCACTTAAAATGGTCCCGGTTGCATTTCGGCAGGTGGTGGTGGTGGTCATGGTGTTTGTTGTGACTATGGGGTTTATCCTTTCTGTTATTGCGTTGTAAAAAAGAACCATATTGGATCGGTTACGTTCGACTCGTACGGATTCGTCAGAAGTGCAAATCCACCAGATCTGCACACTCTAGAGTTGCCGAAATGAAGCACTATGGCCATCTGAAATGGCTGTTGACAGCTTGCTTAACATCTAAACTGCGTGATATAATGCCTGTTGTAACCACACAGGATTTTCTCATTACTGGATCCTCAAAGAGTCTTCTTTCAGCAGCGTTTCTCATCTAGATGGTGAAATAGAACACAGTTGAATGTGTGTAGGAATTCATTTATAATGCAAAAATCATGGTCATATGGAAGATAGAGGATATGGGAATGCATATATCAACTGATAGATTGACTGGATTGCGTTCAACCGTCTTGGCTGATTGGTGGCTTCGATCAATCACCTGAGTTCCGATATCCTTGTTCTGTTTGATTGTCCCAAAACAAAGTAGTTTTCGAGGGGCATGCTGACTCCCTGCCAATGCCTATCTCAGGTATATATAAACTGAGGTTTTTTGTTTGTTTTTGATTATCAATTTAATATTTTGATGTTCTCTAGACAGATCATTCACCCATCACACTTTCGTACACAGAATTCGTTCATCTTAATGTCAGAATAGGTCGATCGGGTCGGTGCTTGTTGTTGGTCACCGTTGCAGTACGGATGACCTCCAGAATAACAAGTAGCAAACTACAAGGAATGGAGAAAGGTAGACTAGTCAGGAGAACCAGCGGCTGCACCAGGCTTATTTCATGTCTCAACCGTTGCAATCTGTAGACATTGCAGACTAGCACCAACGCTTAATGTCAGAAACCTAGGGTCAGTGGATGCATGCTTTCTTCTGCGTCACACAATACTGGCGCATGTATATTTCTGTGCACAAACGGAAGCCGCATCGAAGTTGATCGGTGCCAAATTAGCTATTTGCATGTTATCCAAACCACGAATAAGTAACGGAACTTATCTACCTTAATATACACTTTCATCGTAGGTATCTGTCTGATTCTGTTATCCTATATTATTGCTTGATGAGTAGCCGAAGGGGTAAACCCATAGTCGCGAGGACCTACTGTTCAGTCGTGGGAACCGGTAACCTAGATTCTTGGAGTGGGGAACCACACAAGGTCGTACTAGCATAGACGTTGTACGGAGCCAAACGACAGCCGAGCTGTCTATTGCCAATGTTGGGTGGTGTTCGAACCTCGAAATCTAGAGCCTAAAACACACCGGGAACAGTAAAGTGAACCGTTTCATCACAGTCACATATCAGTAACCCTCATCTTTTGAATATGTTTCACATTTTTCTGCTAAAATACACATACTAATCTTAGCTGTATCCTGAGTCAAAAATTCGCAGCACCGTGTTTGACGGCATCTAGTCTGTTTCTAATCGGTGGGTAAATAAAAATCAGAATAACACTCGAGTTTTTCGTGTAAATATAGCTTTGCGACAGTCGTTTTTCGTTTTTTTTTGGATTTGTACCAGCAAATTACGAGATAGTTTTGGAAAGCGCTATTGATTGCCTGTTCACATTGACCTGTACCAGCCAGTTTGGTCCGCGAA